CTACCAGTCAAACAGATTTCGGTGTTTGATCCCCGACTGAAGGATTTTCAGACGAAAAATGTCTCAATGCACGGTTGTAATGCCGTCATTCGGTTTCCCGCTGCATAATGTACAGATCTTTGGGTTAATAAGTGACTGACTTGATCGTATTTCATATTAATTGAGTTGAGGATTGTGTAATTTATGATTATTTGACGTTAATTTACATAGTTCCGGACTTCACTTGTCTACTGGAGACTGTATACTTTTAAAGACTGCTTATAGCATTCTGTGGAACAACTCTGATTGGACTTGACAGTCAGGTGATTCCTAAGCAAGCAGCACTGACATACACAAGTCAATAAAAGCGAACGAACCATATAACTGAATTCATAGTAGGAACTGGTTTTTGACTTTCATCATAATCGGTTTGATTTACTTGGAATCAAAAGGACGTCACTCTGTTTTAATGCTATAAATTTGTGAATCCATGCACCTTGAAACAATCAGTGAGCATCTCCCACTTGCTTTTCATTGTGTTCATAGTTTCCAGTGGGACCGGCATTTTAAGCAATTCACCAGAACATTTTGTGGTGAACGTGCCATGACTATACTCAAGATATCATGGACAACTCACATACAAAGAATGTGCTTTTTCTTCAGCGGAATGATAATCATGAAGCTGATCACATTTATCGTTTTTGGATGTCAGCTCAACTATCCTGAAAACGTAACCTCAATTCAAACGAAAGTGAATCATTTGGAAAAAAATGTAATCGAACATCCGATTGAAGATGACAAACCTCGAATCTATTGTATTCTGCTCACTCACAGTACCAATTACGAACGCAAAGCCATACATGTTCAGAACACGTGGGCAAGAAGATGTACCAATTTTTCATTTGTTAGCACGAGGAAGCATCCTTATTTGCGTCTACTAAGTAAGTGGGTACCTTTTTGTCACAATCTTTTATTTTTATTGGATAAAATATGTTATAATGTTTCGAGATGGGATACTTTTTACTGTGTACAAAAGAAAGAGTGATTTATTTGAGAATGGTGGAGATTTTGATTAGATTATATGATGAACTTCGTCGTGTACAGAGCAAACGGGGCGTGAATTGAAAAGTAGGAAGTCTTCGTACAGCTGACTTAACCTTTTTGGGTAGTGTGAATCCATCGACTCCATTGAGAATCAAATCCGAGATCTTGTACTTAAAAAGCATATTGACTGCCGACTTAACCACCGTCAAAATGATCAGACCGTCGGGGGAATTTAGTGCCAAAGTGAGTCACTTGAGTTACCAGGAACAAGCTTTCAAACGTGGAATGTGTATAGTAAATAATAAAAAAAACAGCTTTTTAGCTGCATGACGTTCAATTAGGTAACATGATGGTGTTCCACCTGAGAGGTCCTGGGTTCGATTCTCACTTGGTTCGATGAAATTCGCACTGTTGATGAGATCCAATCAGGTCTAAACAGCTATACAGTGCTTCTTGGTTTTCAAGCTCGCATTTTACTGGCTCCGTGCACCATGAGCTCATCAGATGGCTTTGTTTCTTCAGACCGATTCTGAAGCTCTTTCCCCCGTTTAACTTGATCTATCGCTCATCCTCCATGTTTCCGTAACTTAAATGCCAATCTAATGAACCATAGAAAAAGATTAAAAAGTGTGCTTTGATCGGTCAGCTTCAATTGATGAAGCGAGCTGAGGACTTCAATGAAGCTTGGACCTGCTACTGTCGAAAGTCTAAATCAATTAGGGAACACCTAGCGATGCGTTTTTTGTTTTCGACCACGAGTGGGAGTTGTTTATATAGTTGACATCAATCTTGCTTTATTAAAGCACGATCAGCATTTCAATAATAGACTACCCGTTATGACATTAATCTATTACACGCGAATAATAGTTGCCTCTATTTTCAGTTCGGATAGATTATATTGATGCCAATAGCCTCTCGACCGATTACGAACCTTCGCCAGAAGCAAATGTGATATCCAACCAAATTGTCCGTTCAGGAAGATTCAAGTTTCCACTTTTGAGAGTGAACCAATCGACAGAAACGGCCTGAAATTCTAATCCGATTCGGTATATACAGACTAGAGATGCTACCGACCAGAATGTTTTATTGTGTATTCATTAAGAGAGTGACAGGGAGTTTAAATCTAATTTTTCATGAACACTTAAATTTACATTACTCACGTTTTTTTCAAATTTTAATATGACGAAGAGTTTTCCATGGTTCAAATTGGAATAGACTGGGTGCACAGATTCATTTATTTAGACCAAAATTTGCTGTGAAAGTAGATCCTTCAGAAGGATTCTAATTTCCACTCATCGCTGAAGAGCTTTAAAGGCACGGGACATCTTCCTGTGCATAGTTGAAGATCATCAGTATTGTTCGAGCATTAAATGGAATGAGATTCGAATTACGGGAGTCAAGATTTGTTGGTCCCACATTCCGCACACTTGGATTATTCGGAGCTATTTAAAACAGCCTGATTTCTGCTAAATGATCGCGTGAAAAAGCACAAATTTGTCATCGGTATAGAAGATGCTGAATTTAAGCACAAATTAATCGAGGCTGCTCTGTTCCCAAGCGGTCTGTCACATTGGTCTGTAAATTCTCCATTTGAACCGTAATAATGGCGTCTAATTTTCCCATTCCCTTTCTCCTTCAGTCAGCTCGCTTTAATCAGCTACTTCCTCTTCTCAAATATGAGCTTAAAATTGCGTATGTGATGCGACGGTTTCTTCGTTTTAAGATTGTCGTTATTCGTACAACACGTTTCATGAAATTCATTAAGAATTGTAAAACATCATCATCCACTGACAAATAATTAAACCGTAAACAGTCAGAGCTCTGTAGTTACCACGGCCACAGAAGCCTGTTATCAAACGAGTATCAAATCGCTTATCCATTTGATTCACTTGACAATACAAATGACATTTTCAAAAGGATTTGCACTCCTATGAATTCCTTACTATATTATCCATACACACACGCATACAAACGGAGACGTGCCCTACTTTTGTGTTTCCTTGACATACCATTTTTATTGATTTGAGCTGACTATCCTTTGGACTTCACCTTCATGCACAACCCTCAGTTCATCGATTCAACAATACACTCGGAAGCACTAGACTCGAGTTTCGCTCTTATTAGAGCTCATCCGTAGTGCATATTTACCGCCCCGTCCGGGATTTTGACTCCGGACCCATCGCATGGAAGGCGTGTGTGTTACCACTGTGCCAACCAGCTCATGCCTTGGCTGAATCAAATTGCCAATTCATGTTTGTTCAGGTTTCGCCTTCACTGATAGTCAGTTCATTTTGGCCCGACAGCAACGAAGGGAGACACAGATGACATACTGTTAACTCCAATCGAAAGCCTCCCACCATTTCAGGAATTCCTTGTAGGTACTGACTGATTCGCCAACGAATCTACAAGGCTGGATTGATATTTCAAATTTGACTCACAGTTACTTGTGAGTAGTGAATATGCACTACTGATGAGCTCCAATAAGAGCGAAACTCGAGTCTAGTGCTTCCGAGTGTATTGTTGAATCGATGAACTGAGGATTGTGCATGAAGGTGAAGTCCGAAGGATAGTAAGCTCAAATCAATCAAAACCAATTATCCCACACCACTACTCACAAGTAACTGAGTGAAATTTGTCGTATCATTTTGTCACCTACGAAAGAGTGCTGCATTTAGCTAGTAAATGATGCACCGAAAACAAACTTCCTTACCAAATTGACTTTTTGAATCATATTATGTTTGGACTCCATGTGTGGACCAAATCGTAGCCTTAATTTTCATTTGCCAGTGCAATGGGCTCAAAAAGTGATTAGTCAGTTCATATAAAATTGTGACTAAAAAATGTATATTGTTGCTCAACAATGATGTACACATCTACCGAATTTGAATGAATTAATCAATAACAAGTCACTATTCAAATCAGAAAAACAATCAACTCTAGTTACTCTAATAGAATTACAGTTTAAGCCAACACTGCTCTCTACAATGCCTAAATATCGATTCTCGTCCAGGCTTCTACATTTTTTCCCGTGTTACCTTACTCTTCACTCGATGTTTTCAGCGTTTGTTTATAATTTCTTAGTCTTGGTATCGCTTGCCAGCTAGTTCAAACGCTCTGACGATAGTATTATTCGATCAAAAAGGACATTTTGAAAATGTCCGACATTCGAAGGTGGGAAACAATCTGGACAAAGTTGGTAGAGACCAGGGAGTAGGACAAATCTCAACTCAAACCTGAGTCAGTGTGTCTGTGTTTATAGTTCATGCGTGTGCATATGCTTGTAGAAGGCGGAAATTTCAGCTAGGGGATTATCGGTACAATATGTCGTCACTTAGAGCACTGATAGTCTAGTAGTGGGTGACTTTAATTGCTGCTTTCAGACTATATATTTACAATAATATTGTCTCATACTTTGTTCGTCTGACATCATAAATCTCAATCCGACGGTTCAACCTCCCTAGAACGTCCCATCGTTCTGAGTATATACAACTCAAATTCGGTTATAGAATGAAAATGATCATAAGTGTAAAAGCTGTGTTGGTCTTGTGTTAAGTTCCTTCAGGTACAGAGCTATTTTTGCTGTTTTGTCACGAATTTCAGTCAGTGAACTCCTAGATCACGGATTTCATCAACGATTGGTTCAGTTGCCCTTGTTTCAACGATTTTCCTGAAAAATGTCCCGGTGTTATAATTTCACAAATCGGTGTCAGGACGAGGGTAGTTACTTATTACGAATAGCGGTCAGGGTATCGGTAAATTGGCATACGTACAACCAAATATCTCATTTNATTTGGAACGAGTCTTCAAATTGCCACATACTAACTGGATAGATAATGGAAAGGTTCAACGTAGATGCACATTCCTGTAGTTACCATACTGAACACAGCACTGGGCTTTAACAGGTCTTGTTCATTTTTGACCGTTGAAAGAGATCACCAATCACATCTTTTTGCGAACTACTCACAAATTTGAGTAGTACCCCACAACACCAGCAAACTACGGAATACGAAGATGGAAGATGGCTTTATTTCCAACAAGAATATGTATATAACTGATCCAATTTGGCATCTCTCATTGTGTAGCTTGTTTTTCCACCTCAGTAGATAAAAATTCTAGTAAGCTGAAGATGGTTTCCAACAACAGCTTAGCAGATGAGGTTTTCAGTGACCAAGTAGGTAAAACTAAAAGGATATCAATATCACTTTCAGGAAGGTGCTTCCTGTCTGGAATTTCAAAGTGTTTCCCATTCACTTGTGCTTCTGTTCATTGACTTGGTCTAACGTTCACGGGTAGCGCTCTTACGATGCAGAACTTACGACCATGAACCTTAATAACAAAACTTTAGAAAAACGTGAGTTATCTTACACTTTGATTTTCACAATGTGGTTGAATGTGTAGTACTCAGAACGAATGGACGTTCTAGGGAGGTCGAATCATCGGATTGAGACTTGTGATGTTGTTTTATCTGTCTTTTTCCAATAGATACATCCAACTTTGAGGTTTTACTCTCCATGATAATTAAACCCCACTCTATGGCTATTGTAGAGCAACGTATGAAACGAGAAGCTAATTAGATCCATAGAATGAAAAGTTTTAAATCACAGTTTAGTTCGTATTCTGAAAGAAAAACCCGCATTACATGAAATTTGAGCCATCCATAATCAATTCATTTTTGTCTGTCTTACATAGACTTTCGTCCAACGAAAACGGATGCCTACAAACATCTATGGTCAAAAATGATGGATGCTTACAAGGAATTATACCATATGGCAGATGAGTATGACTATTTTTTCAAGGGAGATGATGATACGTTTGTAATCTACGAAAATCTTGAACTACTACTGAAAACATTCTCCCCGGGTGACAAAGTACACACCGGTTTTCCGATGAAGGTAATTTGATTGTGAATGTGCGCAAAGTTGGGTTTCATTGATCGATATCCTAATCCAATGTTGTCGTTTGACCTCCATTTCGATCTGTTTTGTACCCCTCTTATTATTGTTTTTTATCTGCACCATACTTGTTCTGAAGCCGGTAATATATATATATATTACAATAAATAGTATATGACTGACGCCCAAATTCCCTTGGTAGCACTCGAACGGTTTGGCGGTTCTTGTCTCTCGTCAGGCATGCGTATCCGGTAGTCTTCTGTCTTTCCATTCATACAACTGTACCCAAGTGTATTTGCACCCCTATAACGTAACCTGCAACGAAGGGTAAATTTATGTGGATAGCTGTTTCAGGACCAGTCCATTGATGAATAAATACTTTGATTCGATGTTTTATATATATATATATATTGCGTTGAATAAATAACGGTGTATTTTATAAACTATTACGTACACATTAGATGGAGGTTCAATGTTAATTGAGCTATATAAATTCGTCTTACGCTGAATTTCAGGATAGATCAAATGAATTGCTTTACTCTGGTGGAGCTGGCTACATCTTATCTAGCAGTGCCCTGAAAGCCATTGTAATTGATGGTCTGGGAATGCAAAACAGAATGCCCAAATGTGAAACATCTGACGGTCCGGAAGATGTTCGTATAGGTAGGTGGATTTATCACAAAAGTGCTTTCAATAAATCTTTTTTTGCTACTCGTAGAGTTAAAAATCAATCGGTATAAGTTGTAAATATTCCGGAATAAACCTATTGTAAGAGAACGCAAGTCCGAAGTTGAACAATTGTTTTCGAATGATTCATAATCCTGCCTATTCTTACCAGAATTATGCCTACAAATGCTCTCCAATTACCCTGGTTGCAATTTGATCACCAGCATCGCCAACACTCCAATCACAATAGATTTCATCCAAACACGAATACATAGGTCTCACCCCTCCCTTCTCTTCCTCCCGAACGACCTTCCGAACTAGCGTGAAAAGGTGCTCCCACTAACAAAAAACCCTTATATGATTTCTACAAGCAGGATTATGAATCATTCGAATCATTTACGTTCGGACTCGTGCTCCACGTTTGTGATCCTTATATGTTACATAACGTGATATATATTCATGTATTGTATTCTGGCAAACGTGTATGCAACACTTCTTTTTCCTGTCTTAACATTGTCTGGATTTAAATATTTTACCTACGATTCAGAGCAATGTCGAACACATAATATCACCAATAGTTACTTTATTTGACTACCTTTGTTTATGTGAATGATAAGCAAAAATGATGAACAGATAAGAGTAATATTTCGGAGCACCATGAAATAATTGGTACACAAAAAAGGTTTTCTAGCAAAAGCTTACCGAAACGCCGTTCATACTATCTAGCCTATGACGACACACCTGGTATTTTGAAGAAGGCCTGAGAATAGCACAGAGACAGAACGCAAAATATTCAAAAAATCAACGTATTGAGACAAAAAACTTATCATTATCCAATCCGTTCCGAACATTTCCGCCGATATAATCATAAAGGATAAACAACGCATCTCGTAAACGTTGTTTTCAACATGTGTGGGTTAAAGTTATGCAGAATGGATCCTAGGTATGGCAGAGTATCAGCTCCACCGCACTCTGCATTAAAATGGATTGCCAAAAGGAGGATCAGGGTCATACATATGATGAAGGGGGGAATTAATGCGGTTGATTTTGAACGATCTGTCTGTCTGTCTATCTTTCTCTCTGTCTGTCTGTTTGTTTGTCTGTTCGTCTGTCTATCTGCCTATGAAGTCTAGGGTTGCGGCTGTTCACCCTTCCTTTGCACCTCGCAAAATGCTCTCATACGATCAAGCGTCTCAAATAGCTTCTGCTGAGGAAGCCCTACGCCCTGCCTTCTCGTGACGAGGGTGCTTTCCCACCAAAGTGAGAGAACGAAAACCGACATCCGGGGCCTTAACCGGGTTGGTGGACCCCTGGTAGTTCACCTAGGGGAGTTGGGAAAAAAACCCTGATTCCAAACCAAGAGAAGGCATACAAACTATACACACAGTAATCACCGGTTTGATTTGGCATCAAGGTGTAATGGTCATTTTGGATGTTTGACCCCATCCAAAGGGCTTATGATTCGATGAACTAGACACCGGCCCCCAATGGGTTGTGGTTTTCACACACCGCCTCGATACCTTACGGGTCAGGATTTGGCTAACCGAAGACTCCGGTTGTGGATTCCTCAAGAAAATTCACCTGCCATGGTCTGTGTAATCTGGCAGTATTCGGCTCACATGCAAATCATGGAACGTTTTTCTTTTTTATAAAGATAATTGTACCATGATTCGTTTTGCACAACCTAGATTCAGACGGGTGTGAAATACACATATATATATATATCGTAGAGTAAATGGAGGGGCGGGGGGATTTAATAGAAGACATGTAATTGCGAAAGAGATCAGAGTTGAGTGAGCGAAATGGTCTAGTTGGAATAACTGTTATTCGTGGTGTTTGTGGGTGTCAAGGGAGGTGAATGAATGATGTGTGGTTGTGAAAGAGTAAATGTGTGAATGTACTAAACTTCATGAACGGAGGTTGCGACATTGGTTGTAAGTGGATCACCATGCTAAGAGTAGTTTTCTTGCAAATTGTTTCTGGTGATTCAAAGGTGTGTTGTGTGGAGATGGATGATAAAGTCTCGATTGTGAACAAAATCTGGGATTTGATCTCTTTGAATAAAATTCCTTTAACGGTGTAGATAAGAAGAAAAATCTCATGCATACTGACTGTGTGATTAGACAGTCCAATAACACATCGTCACCGAGTGATGTTAGGAGTGTATCGAATAATTCATGATTGCCGCCATCCCGGTCTTTGTCATTTCCTGATTCAAAAGCTAGGATGATGTTCTTTGATATGGCCAGAGAGTGGTCTCACCGTTCGACCAACATATCTTGCTCCAGTCGAGCAAGTGAATGAACGATTAAGCAAAGCGAGGTCGAATCCGAAACCAACCTATTCACGGTCCATCTTCATAACTGCACCACAGCCGTTGTTGTCAGAACTCAGACTTTACCATGGTCATACGCTTAAAACCTGCTGCGGTAACCTCTCTTCACCCAATCTTTTAGTGTATAATAGGTTTCTGATGATTGCCGGGGAGGAGCAGTTTATCGGTTAAGAAACCCGCTAAATGAACTTTACAGCGGGTACTTGGGACTTCCACCCGACGAAGGAAGAAGTCTTCGCACTTCGTTGGACAGCTGCTGCCCAGCCAAGCTCCACAACCTCCAGCCGATAAGGTGCTGTCCCGTCTACGTTCCTCTTGCTTTATTGGGTGCAGGAGACTAGGGGTAAACCCCGAACAGCGAATCGATAATCAACGCACCAGTGGGCAATACACTGAACCGAAACTCAAAGACCTTGCGTGTCAAGTCTCTAGAAGCTTCCACATAGGTGTCTCAGTCACGCTTCTACCTTGGATCCATGCCCTGTTGCCTTGCGGGTCAGATTCTTGAGTCAAAGGCTCCAGTTAGGATTCTCAAAGAAAAAATCCCTTAGACGACCTGGGCTACCGCGAAGAATGTCGTGCCCCCAAGTCTTAAGTGACCACTTGGAAAACCCTCTCTCTCATCTATCAACTTCCTCTCATACTTGAATCTTACAATATGCTTCCTGTTTACGCTACCCATGGGATATAACTCAGGGTTCAGCTAGTAAGGTCAAACAACCAGTCTTTTGAAACCAAATTTTCCCTTTCACTTAGCCACGTTTATCGCCGGCACGCTCTATCAGATCGGCCAAAAAGCCGCCTTAAAACCATTGAAACTTTCAGTTTAGATTTATGCTGTCCTCGAAACATATACAAGACCCTACTACAATCATCACCTCAAGTTTTCTAGAACTGATCTTATCCTCGCGCTTCGCCATCCGAGTGTCAGACGATTGTTCTATGTGAATTCATTATCTATTCTTTGACCATGCCCTTAGCATTTCAATCAATCTTTCTTCTGCCGTTTTTTCAAAATGGATAGCATAAAGGTAGCCCCGAAAACCGCCGCAAGAATATGCATGATTATTGATTGAAGAAAAAGCTGGAACTGAACTGAACTGAACTAATGATTGCTTACGATCTTTCCCATGGTGGGTTCGAGCCAGAATAGAACCAAAGGTTGGGAAGATCGATAACACATTTTCTGACAATTCTGAAATACTAGAAATGAGTTCTCCCTATCCTAGGCCAGTATTTAAGCAACGGCAGCGGAAACCTACTAGTAGATCTAAACAAAATAGGTAAAGCTGGCGATGCAATGCTCACTGTGGAGAATTGTACCAGTCAGGTTTATTTGAGCATATTGAAAACATGATAATTTTAAAAGTAAAACTCAACTTTTGAAGTTGCAAAGTTGCTCTTCCCAATAGGGAAGTCTCGCAGAAAGATCAAAGTCGCCGTTTGTTCCAATCTGTGATGAACGTCGATGATGTACTTGATTATGACCGATTGAAAAGAAAGGTTTCCTATCCTGGAAGGGTAATTATTGTAGTGTCCAGATGTAATTAAGGAGTGAAATTGCCTTGGATATCAGCATTTGGTCAAGTTGTTTCTTGTCTTTGTTCTAATTATGGCGTCCAGCGCATATACAGGCACCTTGGGATATACAAAGAAGCAAGAACAGAAAAATATCGTGGTGAAACTGTCAGTTAAAGAACTGTAACAGTCTCATTCATTCACCCATTCCCTAGTTCTCCTTCACACACACACACGGTACGCAAATTATCACCATCAGATCATCTCAGTCAAAACTTTGATCTGTCTCGAAATTCTGTCTCCTCTCACCCCTGTTTATTACATTATATATTAAGGTGTGATTAACCAGCTGATGTGGTACCGAAAACAAACTAACCGTTGTTTCTGTGACCACTCAAACGGGAATATTTTTACATCCCTTGTAATGATCAGAATACATGTAGTAGTAGAAAACATGCTTTTTGATAAGCTCGTTGCAATTATCTTTGAGACAATTGAGTAGGTGGCCCAATTATGCAAGTGTTACAATAAGTTTGCATCACCGCTAAGCACATGCAATTGTCAATGCGGAGGGGTTGGGGGTCGAATCGTTCGGGTTGTAGTTGTCTTTCAGCGCACAGAGGTTATTTTTCGAGAAGTGAATGATAATTGCATCGACAGTTGCTAGTGTCTGAACAAGGACTGCGTTAGACATGTGGTTTGGGAATTGAGAAATAACACAGGATACCGACCGTGTATCATTTGAGTATCAACCATGGATTAGGGGAACCAGTTCAAGTGCTCCCATGGTGCCTGTAACATGGTCATAAAACAACACAGTTATCGTAACGCATTAAAGAACTCTATCCTCACTAAATTAAACATCAGATAGTGTTCCAATTCATCTTGATAGTTTGTTTGCACATAAATATGCCTGTAATGTTATAACGATGAGCTGGTATTCCTCTGATTTCTATCATGAAGAAATAAAAAGTTCAAAGAACAATTATTTTTATTTATTGCAAATTTCGATAAATGTTCAGACTATCGACGACGGAGATCCCAACACTGGGTGTATAGAGTGCTTGAAATAAACTACTAAGATAGCATGTGTTCTCATCCTCACCATCACCCCCCCCCCCTACACACAGGCTGACACCTCAGGAACGGTTGTCAAAGTCAAAGTTTTATTATGGGAATAACTTACAAGCTCGTGCTTCTCTTGTCCCCATAGGATATTTA